AATCCATAGAGATCCACCTGCTTCTGCCTCTCAAGTGCTGGAATTAAAGGCATGTGTCACCATGTCCAGCTTCTTCATTTTTAAAAATTTTATTTAGTTTATGTGTATAAATACTTATCTGCATGTATAACTATACAATCACATGTGTGTAAGTACTTATCTGCATGTATAGCTATACAATCACATGTGTGTAAGTACTTATCTGCATGTATGGCTATACAATCACGTGTGTGGTTGGTACATGCAGAGGCCAGAAGATGGTGTTGGATCTCCTAGAACTGGAGTCACAGATAGTTGTAAGCTGCCATGGGGTTGCTGGAAACCAAACCAAGGACTTCTGAAAGAGCAGCCAGTGCTGTTAACTGATTAGCCTTCTCTCCAGCCCCCTTTTCAATCTTGATAGAGAACCTTTTGTAGACACTACCCTGGGAGGCTAATGAGCTGGAGTGGAACTCTGCTACCCTTCTCCATGACTGACTGTACTTCATGCCTGTGTACACACCCCTCCAGGCCATGTATACTTATGTGGTCTCTTGCATGTCCCCTTCTCTTGGCTCATGAATATGAATGCTATCCTTGTCTATGGGGGCACTGATGGGACTTCTATCTCAGTGGACATTTGGTCTGTTGGCTGTATCATGGCGGAGATGATTACGGGAAAGATTCTGTTCAAAGGCAATGACCGTATCCTTCTGTGTAGAACATCATGGGACTTTGGCCAAGGTGTGGGTTCTGGGTGGGCCACCTTCTGCCTTTGCACTGCGTTCCTGACCTTGGAACAGACCTGGACCAGCTGAAGGAGATCATGAAGGTCACAGGGACACCCCCTCCTGAGTTTGTACAGAAGTTACAGAGTGCTGAGGTCAGTGGGGAGCTGGGTGGTGGCCTGGACTTGGGTCTGGGAGTTGGCCTGTCACTCTTGCCCTCCTCTTCACAGGCCAAGAACTACATGGAAGGCCTCCCTGAGCTGGAGAAGAAGGATTTTGCCTCTGTCCTGACCAATGCAAGCCCTCAGGGTAGGGCTGGGGAGGGTAAAGGTCTCAGGCTGCTGGGTATGCCCTATTCTGTGGCTTGGCCTGATTTGCTCACTCCACAGCTGTGAACCTTCTGGAAAAGATGCTGGTGCTGGATGCAGAACAGCGGGTGACAGCAGCTGAGGCCCTGGCCCATCCATACTTCGAGTCCTTGCAGGACACTGAGGATGAGCCCAAGGCCCAGAAATATGATGACTCCTTTGATGAAATAGACCGCACCCTTGAGGAATGGAAGCGTGAGTGTGGGTGGATTCCACACAATGTCTGGCTTTAGACCCTATGTGCCCTGTATAGATGAGCCTCTGACCCCTCCCCCCAACACACACTGTTGCAGATGAGATACAAGGTTGGGAGGTTAAGGGTATTGTGGGGCTGTACAACTTGGCCAGGTTGACTTCTGGCTGTAGCAGAAGGCAGTAGGGAAGACTATTCCTTGTAGGAGCTCCTTCAAAGGCTGGCACGTGATGGGTCCCGAGGACTGTAGAGCATCTGTGTGCTCAGGGCAGCGGTGCCCTTGGTCTCTACTGGTGCCCCAGCCTCTTCCCCGCCCCTGTTGCCCAGCATCCTCGTGTCTGGACCACACTGGAGTCTTCTCTATCACCCTTATCCTTTTTTTTTTTCTCCGAGACAGGGTTTCTCTGTATTGTTTTGGAGGCTGTCCTGGAACTCGAGCTGTAGACCAGGCTGTCCTCCAATTTACAGAGATCTGCCTGCCTCTGCCTCCTGAGTGCTGGGATTAAAGGCATGCGCCATCAACGCCCAGCTTTTTTTTGTTTGTTTGTTAGTCACCCTTATACTTATGATTTACTTCTCACACCTTTTGAATTTATCCTTACCCCTTTTCAGGACCCCTCCTGAAACAACTACATCTTTCTCATGTTCTGTCCATGGGGGGCAGTCTGTTCCCATGCAGCCCCAAGGGCCTAACCTTTTCCTCACATCTCCAGCCCCAGATCCATCCATGGCTATGTGTCGAACCTCCAAGGTCTGGACTGTGCTCTTATATTGAGAACCCTTGAACTGGCCTCAGGCTGCCCACTGTTCTCTGAGCTGGAACTAGCCTCTGCTGTCTACTCCAGATTGGCAGGTCCAGTCTGGGGAGTAGGGACCTCTGAGGACATGTCCATGGGGCATGTTATTCCTTGTTCTGCCTGCTTTAGGCCCCCTTTTTTATTTGTTTGTTTTTGCTTTTTGAGACAGGGTTTCTCAGTATAACAGCCTCACTTTGTAGACCAGTCTGGCCTCGAACTCACAGAGATCCAAAAGTGCTGGGATTGAAAACTTGTACCACCACTATTTGGCTTCAGGCCATGTTCTTGCACTCTGATGTTGGAAAGGCTGGATGGGGTGAGGTTCTCAAATCAGGTCCTGCAAAGTTCTTCTGTACTTCTAACAGCATTCTTCCCTTCTGTGTTGTCATGCGCTTATGAGTTTGGTTCTGTGTGATGAAACCCGCCTGCTACTAAACAAAATAACTCACTTAACCACATGCCACAAGATCTGATCTGTGGTCTCCACCTACACAGTGTGCTCGGATGCTTTTGCTTTTACCATAGACCGCAGAGGACACACAGCTGAGCCCATGGACAGGAACACAAGCTCTCTCTCTCTCTCTCTCTCTCTCTCTCTCTCTCTCTCTCTCTCTCTCTCTCTCTCTCTCTCTCTCTTTCTTGTTTCTTTTTGTTTTTTTCAGACAGGGCTGTCCTGGAACTAGCTCTGGTTAGACCAGGCTGGTCTTGAACTCACAGAGATCCACCTGCCTCTGCCTCCCGAGTGCTGAAGGCGTGCACTGCACAGTGTTTTTAAGTGGGTTGATCCATTTAGGATTAAAAGCCTATGGGGTGCTGGTTTCTCCCCATAGGTGAAAGTAGACTTAACTATATCATCTGCTTCTCCTTGTTTTCTGCAGGTGTTACTTACAAAGAAGTGCTCAGCTTCAAGCCTCCCAGGCAGCTAGGAGCCAGAGTTCCAAAGGAGACAGCTCTATAAAGACCTCTGGGTAGTTTGGGGGTATCCTAAGGAGCCTGGCTGGGAGCTTCACAGGTACCCTGGAACCCCTTCCCTGGAAGAGAAGTCCTGGTTAGCACTCTGACAGTGCCTGGAACTTGTATCCACCTGGAGAGACTGAGTAGACCCTCAAGTCACAGACCCTCTGTCTCCAAACCTGCTCCTCTGCTTTTGGGTGCCCCAGATGACCCTGGCAGAACATCTAAGCTTTCTGTCCAAGATCCCCACCCAACACAGAACTAGCCTGTGAATTCTGGAGTTCCCTTCACCAGTGTGCATGGAAAGGCAGTGTCAAGGCCAACTCCTGAGAAGGAAGGACATAGAGGTTTGGGGGGTACCAACTCAGGGACATCGTCTCTCTTGTGATGGGGTGGACTCTCTTACACCCTTAGCCTGGAATGTAAACCAGCCATTGGTGCACTGAAGTGGCTGGGAGCAAATAAACCATTTTGTAGATCTCCCATTCTGACTGTGTGGCCCAATGCCTGAGCTCCCATCATTTCTGAGCTGTTAGTTGTTTGGATGAAGGGTTTTTTTTTTTTTTTTTGGTTTTTCGAGACAGGGTTTCTCTGTAGCTTTGGAGGCTGTCCTGGAACTCACGTTGTAGACCAGGCTGGCCTCGAACTCACAGAGATCCGCCTGCCTCTGTCTCCCGAGTGCTGGGATTAAAGTCGTGCGCCACCAATGCCCGGCTGAAGGGTTTTTTTTAATTGGGGGAAAGTGAATGGGGAAAAGGGGGGAGGGGAGAGGGGAGACCCAGCCTCTAGGGACAGGAGAGAGAAGAGAGAGGGGGAGAAAAAGAGAGGGGGGGTAGGGGAGAGGGAGAGGGAAAGAGAGGGAAGGAAAGGGAGAGAGAGAGAGAGAGAGAGAGAGAGAGAGAGAGAGAGAGAGAGAGAGAGAGGGTGGGGGCAGGGCTCTCTTAAAAGGGAGCATAGTGAATGTGCACAGGTGGTGCTCTTAGTGGCTGCAGCTGCAGGCATATCCTGTCAGAACACCAAGGACAGGCCAGTACAGATGCCTGAATACTAACATCTGTACCCCAGCTAGTAGAGGTGCCACACCAACTCAAGGTCAAAGTATTGGTGCCATCTAGTCCTTGCCAGTGGTCCTCATTAGGGCTTGGCCCTCTCCCTTCAGTGATTGTACTCTAATTAAGGCTTAGAGTCTGAGCAGGGTGTCTATGGAGGCTGATGCAAGGGCAGATAATGGGGAAGATGATGTTAGGACCCAGACAGATGCTCCCTTCTTTCTGAGATCACAGCATTTGTCTTCTTATTGCCAAAGCTTCTAGAGAGGGAGGTTGCCTCTGGTCTTGGAGGTTCTCTGAGACCCAGAGAGGTGGTTCCTACTCTCTGACCAACAACTCTACTGGCATCACCCTGGCAGCTTTTCCAATTAGACACCCTGGCTGTCTAATTAGATGGTCTGTGTTCTTCCCCGTGTCCTAAGGGCAGGACATAAGGGTGGGGCCTTGCATTCCTCTCATTTTGCAAGGAGTTCTGGGCAAACACACTTTGTCCATCTGGTCAGAGGAGATGCCACGGCCGTGCCTTCTTCTGCCTGACCCCCCTTGAGATAACCATGGGCAGGACTTCAAATATTTCACACCATTATGGAGGTGTGGCTCACTGCATGCCCTGTCTCACAAGACACAAAACCCAGGGCGAGTCAATGAGGAGTGCCTCTGCCTGATGCCTTTGGTCTTTAGAGAGTGGAGAGGCCTTGGGGACCAACCACAACCCGAGCCTGCACTCCATCTCCAGAGTGCAATGGGCTCCTCGGTTACCCCTGGTAGTTGTGTGTGTCTCTATGGTAGATGTCAGTGGCAGCTCCCACCCTTCACCTGGAGGAGCAGGCAAACTGGATGTGATGGACAATTGACATGTCTGACCCTGCGGTCTTAGCTGGCAGGCTAGGCTCCAGAACGCTGGGGGAAGAAGGGAGCATAGTTGTGGCTGCAGTGATCGCCTGAGGACCAGCAGTCCGGTCTTCCCAACCATTTCAAGAGGGACAATGGCGGCGGCACTGCTCGTAGGTTCCGGGCCACACGTTGTTGACGGCGGCACACAGCTGAAGCACTAGAGCCAGAGACCAGATCCACAGACGCTGACGGAGCTCATCCATCTGCTCTACTCCACCCTAATCTCGCCTGAGGGCGGGTCCGAGTCTGCAAAGGAGGAAGCCGGAAGTTAGGTGCCGGGAGCCACGCTTAGCTGGCTTTACAGCGGTTCGTTTCTGACTACCGACCGGACCAGGGCTTGGGCCTGGGTCTGGGCCTGGAGCGCTACACTCTTGTCCAGGTCCAGTGTCTGCTGCCCGGTTCTGTCCCCAGCGAGGGGCAGTTTTACGTGCTTGCTGTTAGGTGGGACTAGGCAGTGCAGTCATCTGCCAGCAGAGGGCGTGTTACGCTAGAGTGGATCAAAGTGACCACGGTGTGGCCATGGGTACAGCACTTGTGTACCACGAGGACATGACAGCCACCCGGCTGCTCTGGGATGAGTAAGTGTGTTTTGACAGAAGTAGGGGGCCGGGAGGGAACCCCCGAACACTGACGTTCTTGTCTGCCCCAGCCCCGAGTGCGAAATTGAGTGTCCGGAGCGCCTGACTGCAGCCCTGGATGGCCTGCGGCAGCGTGGCCTACAACAAAGGTGCCTGTGTTTGTCAGCTTGTGAGGCATCAGAGGAAGAGTTGGGACTGGTGCACAGGTCAGATTGTGAGGGGTCTGGGCGCCTGAACCTGTTATAGCCCTACTAGCGTCCCCTCTGTTTCACTGTGGTGTGGGCTCAAAGGCATAAGGGGAGAACTGGGTGGGCGCTCCCACCGGGAATCCCAGCTCCTTTCCTTCCTGTCCTGCTGGTGGCTTGCCTGCTGATCTGCAGCCCGGAATACGTAGCCCTGGTGCAGAGGACCCAGACCCTGGATAAGGAGGAGCTCCAGGCACTGTCTAAGCAATTCGATGCTGTCTACTTCCACCCGGTGCGGGCCAGTATACACACCCAGATTTATGTCCCCTCTCCATACCCATGTTTGCCCACCTGGCAACGTATTCTTGCTCATGCTTATGACCATTCCCTGTCGTGTCTTGCCTGCCATTGTCCCATCCCTGCCCCTCTCAGCAGTGGGAGACCTGCAACCTGGGACAAGCAGGTGGGGCAGCGGGCTAAATTGCACTCTGGTCCACAGAGCACTTTCCACTGTGCCCGGCTGGCCGTAGGGGCTGCGCTGCAGCTAGTGGATGCTGTGCTAACAGGAGCTGTGCACAATGGGCTTGCCCTGGTGAGGTGAGAACTGCCCCCCCCCCCCCCCGCTGGCTGTCTCCGTGTGACCCTGTGAGGGGACAGACTGACTGACAGGCCCTGTGCCCCCTCCCCACTTTTGCACCTCAGGCCTCCAGGACACCACAGTCAGAAGGCAGCTGCCAATGGATTCTGTGTGTTCAACAATGTGGCTATCGCAGCCAAACATGCCAAGCAGAAATATGGGTTGCAGAGGTGTGTCCAAGCGTATTACATGTGTTGGGGACACAAACTAAATAGGCAGAAGGGGAGCTGGTGGCCAAGAGATCTTATCTCCTCCCTTCACCCCGGATGGTCTCCTGGCCTAAAGGTGGCAAGGTGATCTCCAGCATTGTCTGAATTTAGGATTCTTATTGTCGACTGGGATATCCACCATGGCCAGGGGATCCAGTATATCTTTGATGATGACCCCAGGTGAGCTGGGCTGTGGACATAGCCCTTCTCTGCAATGCACTACTTTGGGGATAAACTTCAAGTTCTAGGAGGCAGGGTTATTTGAGGAGCTGTGGAACTGCTGACCCAGTCAATTGTCTACAGTGTCCTTTACTTCTCCTGGCACCGCTATGAGCATGGGCGCTTCTGGCCATTCCTTCAAGAGTCTGATTCGTGTGCAGTTGGGCAAGGGCAGGGTCAAGGCTTCACTGTCAATTTGCCCTGGAACCAGGTACCAAGTCCCCCTCCCCCCCCATCCAGCTGACCTCTCCTGCTCCCTAGCTCTGTTTGCAAATGTCACCTGGGGCATCCTGCAAGTCTCCAAAGAGCTCTGTTCTCAGGGGCGAAGCCTCCTTTGATGCTCACTCTGATCTTGCTGCAGGTTGGGATGGGAAATGCTGACTATTTGGCCGCCTTCCTGCATGTGCTGCTCCCGTTGGCCTTTGAGGTGACTGTGTGGTGGATGTCCCCCAGGGTAGGCAACCCTAGGCTAACCCAGAGTTCCACTATGAAGGCAGGAGGAGATTTGTAAGCCATCCCACCAGTGTATGAATGAGCCCTGGGGAGCGGGGAGGTGCCTCAGAAAGTCTGATATTCCGTGAATGGGCAGCATTGGGAACTCCCCTTCACCTGAACTATGGCTCTCTTTTGCCCCTTTCCACTGGACTCTGCCTATAGTTTGACCCTGAGCTGGTGCTGGTCTCGGCAGGATTTGACTCTGCCATAGGGGACCCTGAGGTGAGAGCATGGCCTGGCTGGGGAGTAACCTAGCGCCCTGGGCCCAGGCCCCTGTCATACATGATTCGCTGTGCTTCAGGGGCAGATGCAGGCCACACCTGAGTGTTTCGCCCACCTCATACAGCTGCTGCAGGTGCTGGCCGGTGGCCGGATTTGTGCTGTGTTAGAGGTAAGTGTGGAGTGGTGGGGAGGGCATGGGGCCAAGTGTGGGATCGGTCAAGGTCAGGTGTTCTGTCTGGTGTAGCCGCTCACAATAGTGACACCCCTGTTCTGTCCTGTTTCAACACTCTCTAGGGTGGATACCACCTGGAGTCCCTCTCACAGTCAGTGTGTATGATGGTGCAGACACTGCTTGGTGACCCCACACCTCCCCTTCTTGGCCTCATGGTGCCATGTCAGAGGTTTGAAGACTGGAGAGTGGGGCGGGGGGCTGAAGCAGCAGTCAGGGTTACAATGCTACTTCCTCCCATAGTGCCCTGGAGTCCATCCAGAGTGTCCAGACAGCCCAGGCCCCTCACTGGACAAGCCTCCAACAAAGTCAGTATGACCTGGACCTGGGCTGGTGGCTCCAGCTTAGGCTTCTTTGTAGTGAATGTGACTGTGACCCGTTTAGATGTGGCACCAGTTCTGAGTCCCAGCACCCACCTTCCTGAAGGGAGGTCTCTGTCTCTGCTGGCTGAGAGCTCCACCTGTGAAGTAGCAGAAGATACACCAAGCCCCCTCCCGGGCGGACTGTGGCTCCACCCTACGCCCCCAGTCTGCACAGCTGTTGCCTTGGCTGTGCCAGATGCTGCTCTGGCCTTACCTCCTAGGGTGCTCCACCAGGAAGGGTCAGCCTTGAGGGAGGAAACTGAAGCTTGGGCCAGGTGAGGAGAGCACCTGGGGATGGGGCGGTCTATGCCTGTACCCGCATGACTGATACACATTTGGTTTTCATGTGTCTCTTTGGCCTGCCCACCATAGGCCACACAAGTCCCTGGTCAAGGATGAGAAGGGTCTTGCTGCATTGGGGAAGATTCTGTGTCTCTTAGGTAGAATCCTGGATGGGCAGGTAGGTTGACAGGGGAGCTGTACGTGTGGTGGCATGTACAGGGGACTGATATGTTACCCTGTGCAGGGTTCAGGAAATGTTCTTTGACAAAGAGAGAATAGACAATTTGAAGGTTTTGTTTTCCCAAGACAGCGTTTCTTAGCTGTCCTGCAACTCACTTTGTACACCAGGCTGGCTTCAAACTCAGAGATCGCCTGCCTCTGCTTCCCGAGTGCTGGGATTAAAGGTGTGCGCCACCAACTCCTGGCTTAAGCATCTTTAGAAGTGAAGTGATTTGATTTTACAATGTAGGGAGTGTCAGTCAATAGCAGCCATTTGGACAGGACCAAAACAAGGCACAAATGGGTTTAACCTGGTTTGGGAGTTAGCCCTGACTCCTGAAAAAGCTCCATAGAGGGTGTGTATGTCAGCCTCTAGACTCCCCTGCCTATTTATTCTGTAGGTAAGAAGTGGCATAGCCGCCACAGCAGCCTGTGCCACAGCAGCAACTTTAGATGTGGTCATTCGCCGATGTCTGTCCCACGGAGCTCAGAGGTAAAGTTTGCTTGGTTGACTTGAGACTCCAAGGACCTGGGAATGCCCCCTAATGGCATGGGGGAGGGCCCCTGGAATGGGCACTGGACAGGCTATTCTGGGTCAACTTCTTAGGCTACTCTGTGTGGCCCTGGGACAGCTGGATCGACCCCTGGACCTTGCTGATGATGGGTATGATTCTTGGCTTACACATCTCCCCTGTTGTGCACGCGTATGAACAGGTGGTAGGCATTTAACTGGGAACCCAGGGTTACTGTTGGGTGGGGACATTGCAGTACAGATGGGGGTCTTTCATAGGTGCAGTTTGAGTGTGGGTGCCATACCAGGTTGGCAGCCACACGTTCCCCCTCCCTGCTGGGGCCCCAAGCTCTCCTCTATCCTCAGTTGTCAAGTTCAGGAAAGAGTCTCATGCACATATGTACATGTCCATGGTGCTCTCTCCTGGGAAGGAGAATTCTATGGCTGAACATCAGGGGCAAGGAGGCAGCTGTCGGGTCCATGTTCCACATCTCCACTCCACTGCCACAGGTGAGTGGCTGTGTTGTGGCTGGCCAGGTTCTCACTGTCCCCTGGTCTTTCCGGGGGTTTCTGCTCACAATCTAGGGTTTCTGAGATTTGGGGCGTGGTGACAGGAGCCAGCAGCTGTGTTCCCTAGATGAGAGCCTGAGGCTCTGCTGCTGTCCCCACAGACGACTGGGGGATTTCTGAGCTGCATCTTGGGTCTGGTACTGCCCCTGGCCTATGGCTTCCAGCCTGACATGGTGTTGATGGCACTGGGGCCTGCCTATGGCCTTCAGAACGCCCAGGCTGCTCTCCTGGCTGCAGTGCTTCGGGGCCCAGCAGGGGGCCGAATTCTAGCTCTAGTGGAAGAGGTAATCTGGGCAAGATGGGTAAACTGTATGGGTGGGCGGTGGATAGAAACCATTGTTTCACTGCCCTCCACCCCCCACTATCTCTGGGCCAGGAATCCGTACTCCAGCTTGCAAAGACCCTGGCACAGGTACTGCATGGAGAAGCACCTCCCAGTCTGGGCCCTTTCCTGATGGCCTCTCCAGAGGAGATCCAGGCCCTTACGTGTCTCAAAGCTCAGCTGGAGCCTCGGTGGAAGTTGCTGCAGGTGGCTGGTGAGGCACATGGGGAGGTGCGGCCCTACTTTAGAGCTGCGTGGAGCCGGCTTCACCACGCGAGCCAATTGTGCTTTTCTAGCTCCTCCACCAGGACCGTGCTCTCCAGTCGCTTGACATCGATTAAGGCGGGCGACTCCTATTTGGAGAAGAGCGCACACAGGCGGGAGGCCGACGTCCCACCTGCGCCCCAGACACCCTATCTGTAGAACAATAAATATGGGTTAAACAGAGACTACCCCTACTTCCCGCACTGAGTTCTGAGTTAAGCCTCTAGTTCCGGAAACCAAGACTGCGGCCCCACCCCTCCCGAGACCGCCCTTGATGACGTAATTCCGGCGCGTCTCTCGGTGTCTGCGGTCGCGTGGGCGTGACGTCATAGCGGCGGGAGTCCCAGTTCAGCCGATTTGGGTTTACGGTCCAGCCATGGGACGCGCGCGTTTGGTCGGTAAACTTGTCACGGTCCGTGAGACCCGAGGAGGAGCTCCGGGCGGCGGCTGAAGCCTGGGAGGACGCGGCGTGTGGCCTCTTGCACCGCGAAACCTGAGTTGTGGAAGCCTGGTTCGCAGGTGTGAAGCGACGAGCCGTCGGCCCTGGCCCGCCCGCGGTCGCTCTGGTTTTTGAGAGCGTGAAGTGCCTCCCAGCTGCAAAGTTTACCACTCGGGGGTCCAGGGCTGCTCTGGATATGGCCAGTATCACCCAACTGTTCGATGACCTCTGCGAGGCTCTCTTACCTGCTGCCCAGGCTCGTCCGGGCCAGCGTAGCGTCAACAGGAAGAGGGCAAAGCTGAGCCTTAAGAGGGTAGCCTACAATGCCCTTTTTGCAAATCTTTTTCAAGAGGAGACTCATCAGCGGCAGCCTGACTCTTCGAAGCTGCCAGTGAAAAACAAGGTCCTTATGCTGTCCTTCGATTTGAGGGTGGGCGGCCTGGGGCCAGAGGCCGACCGTTTGGAGGAGCTTGTGGAGAAGCTGGAAGCAATCCCTGGCTGTCCTTTTGTGGAGGTGGAGTCCGTGCTGGACCTCTTGGTTCAGCTGGCAGGGAGCGGCCCTCCTCAAGTGCCGCGGAGGAAACGGGATTACTTCTTTAACAACAAGCACGCGGGCAGAAACGTACCCTACAGCGGCTACGATTGCTATGACCTGAGTGTGTCTGAAATGGACGTCCGGTCACTTATCTCTGGGGAGGAGTATTTGTGTCATAACATGGTCCAGGAGTCACTTCAAGTGATGGAGGCTGCCCCAGGAACTGGCCTGCCCACCGTTGGGCTCTTCTCAATTGGTGACTCTTGTGGTGACAGGTTTGAGAGAGACACCCGGGTCTCTCTCTTTGGTGCCCTTGTGCACAGCCGCACATACGACATGGATGTGCGACTGGATATGCCCCCTGTGCCAGACAGCGCAGACTTTTCTGGACTGGCCATTAAGGTAGTGTTTCTTTCCCTTCAGTATCCCTAGAGGTTTGAAAAATGCCTTTTTTGATTTTTTTACCATGGTAATTCTGGAGAGCTCGTGTCCAGAGCATCAGGTAACCAGATCGTTAGGGAGTAGGAGTTGGAGAGGACTTGCTGGCATGCTCTTGCACAAAAATGGCCTGCTACTCACTTGCATCAAAAAAACAACACACAGCTGTTCATCTTTTACCTCAAGGTTTTGTTAAGTCACTTCTCTAGGGCTGTGATTTAAATTCAGATTAATGAAAATGAAATGCATTCTGTTCTTCAGTTGCAGAAGCCAGGTTTCAGATGCGCCTGGTGTGCATGCTTTTTGGTATACTTTCCCACTTGTAACATGGAGTTTCGCTGCTAGTCACTGAGTATATTGTCAATGTCTTTTATTTTATTACTTTGTAAAGTCTATTAAGAGGACGATCTATTACTACTCAGTTATTTTTTTATATGAAACACTTAGGCTATTTCTAAGTTGAAATGATGCTACAGCAAAATCTCAGTGTACATGTTTTTCCAGGTTTAGTATAGAGTATAGTTTTCTTTTCTCCTGAGTGCTGAGAGGGTGGGGTGGGTAGAGACAGGGTTTCAGTGTAGCTCAGGCTGGCCTCAAACTCATGGAGATCTTCTTGCCTCAAACTACAGAGTGCTGGGATTTTCATATGACTTTATGCTGTTTTTCCTAAAATCAGGTCATGTATTATGTAAAATTAAAAATTTAACACCTTGTATTTTAGGTAAAATTTTCTGTGCAGCTCAATCTGGTTCCAAACTCATAATCCTGCTTCAGCCTCAGGAGTTGCCATACCTGACTAGAAATTGATGGTGGATGATTTTAATTCTTTCTGTGATTTCATTGTGGAGGGGTGCATTGTATAGTACATAGGAACTTGAGAAAAAATAAACTATTTTGCTAGGTCTGTCCCTCTTGGGAATAAATGGATGTGGATAAAGTTCCTGGAATGTTATATCACACTTAGATGAATGCATACACGGAGAGATAATTACTGTTCCCTGTGGTCTCCAGGTCCCACAGATTGTGGATCAGTGGGAAGATGAAGGGTTCCAATCAGCTTCCAATTTAACTCCTGACTCCCAGTCTGAACCAAGCATGACCCCCGACTTGGACCTGTGGGAAACTGTGCTCACATATGAAGCCAGCAAGCGGAGGTGCTGGGAGCGCATTGGATGGTATGCAACCCTTTCTTTGCCTTTAAATGCACTGTGCCTCGGCGTCTTTGCCCCATATCAAGTTTTCTTTGAAACCCCAGGTAGTTGTTTGTAGAAACTTCACTATTGAGGCTGACTTCAGGTAAGCTGTGTAGTGCAGTATTGTCTGAATCCTATGAGGTGAGAGAAGAGGGGAACGGAGCACTCCCCACCCCTCCACCTCAGTGAACTTAACTCTGCAGATCATACTTAAACGGTCCGTCTTTCCACCAAGACTGCCGGACAGATGTCCTAGGGCAACTAGCAAGCGGTGTGGTCTGTGCCTGGGAGATGCTCCAAGAAACTGCATGAGTAGAAGCCACAGGTGTGGTGCCCTCTGCTGGTAGAAGCATCAACCATAACAGCCTTTCCCTGGTATTGGCTGAGCCTGGAGCCACATACTCTGCATATATCTGGGTCCAGGGGTCCCTGCCTTCAGTTCCTTTCATGGTCTGAGTTGGTACCCTTTGGAAACAGCCAGAATGAGAATTGAGGACATGTACTTCACAGACAGTTACTCACACCCCTTTGACTGCTCAGTCTGGGAACCAGTTGGGGAGTACTGAAGTAAAGGTCAAGGCTGGAGGAGCCATGTGTCATCTGATGCAGCCTCTGAGTCCCCACAGGAGCACATGATCGCGGGAGTGGTGAAGCCTTTTGTGTGTAGGGCACTACTTCTATGTGAGAAACTTTCCTACATGTGATCATAGTTGCCCGTTTGGATCCCTCGGGCTGGGCAGCTCTGTGCTGTGTATCTTAAATGGTGTTGGTAGTTGTCTTGTCTTTCAGGGGCTCTTCTGTCCTGTAACTTCATGCTAGGGCTACAGTCCTGTCTTTTTTGTATGAAGCAAATGTTCTCCTTTCTACCAACCCCTTACACATTGAGAAATTGATCTTACAGCCTACTGCTTTGTAAATATTTACTAGTGTTGTTTATCTCTTAGCTTTTCTGGGTCATTGTTTGGGAGGTCACTTAGCAGCTCATTTGTTACCGTAGTGAACACTTCATCCTTTTGGTTCTCTGAAGCACACGATTGGCCACATAGCTCCAGCACAAAGTAGCACTCCAGCAGTGTTTCCTGCAAGGAGGACTATATTCCCATGCTGCTGTTTGAGACAGTGTCTTACTCTGTTGCTCAGGCAAGGATTCTTCCTACCTCAGCCTTTCAGGTAGCTGGTACTGTAGACTTCTCTGTTCCTGTCATCTAAGGGACTTTAATGTAGGGTCTTTTTTTTTTTTTTTTTTTGGTTTTTCGAGACAGGATTTCTCTGTAGCTTTGGAGGCTGTCCTGGAACTCACTTTGCAGACCAGGCTGGCTTCGAACTCACAGAGATCCGCCTGCCTCTGCCTCCCGAGGGCTGGGATTAAAGGCGTGCGCCACCAACGCCCGGCTAATGTAGGGTCTTAAGATGAAGAGCACTACCAGTAACTGGGAGAGAGAATAGAAATACAGATTTGATCATTCATAGGCTCTGGGTTTATGTGCACACCCAGAGGTTATTCATATAGAAATCAAGAAATGGGGCTGGAGAGTTGACTCAGTGGTTAAGAGTACTGGCTGCTTTTCCAAGGGACCCAGATTGGATTCCCAGCACCCACATGGTGGCTCACAACCATCTGTAATCCCAGTTCCTGGAGAGTCCGATCACCTCCTGTAGCCTCAGCATGTATCAGGCGTGCATGTGGTAGTAGACAGAAGTGCAAAGCAACACACCATACATGCATACAAAACAAAACAGCAAAACATGCCACACATACACAACACACCATACATGCATACAAAACAAAACAGCAAAACATGCCACACATACACAACACACCATACATGCATACAAAACAAAACAGCAAAACATGCCACACATACACAACACACCATACATGCATACAAAATAAAACAGCAAAACATGCCACACATACACAACACACCATACATGCATACAAAACAAAACAGCAAAACATGCCACACATACACAACACACCATACATGCATACAAAACAAAACAGCAAAACATGCCACACATACACAACACACCATACATGCATACAAAACAAAACAGCAAAACATGCCACACATACACAACACACCATATATGCATACAAAACAAAACAGCAAAACATGCCACACATGCACAACACACCATACATGCATACAAAACAAAACAGCAAAACATGCCACACATATACAACATACCATACATGCATACAAAACAAAACAGCAAAACATGCCACACATACACAACATACCATACATGCATACAAAACAAAACAGCAAAACATGCCACACATACACAACACACCATACATGCATACAAAACAAAACAGCAAAACATGCCACACATACACAACACACCATACATGCATACAAAACAAAACAGCAAAACATGCCACACATACACAACACACCATACATGCATACAAAATAAAACAGCAAAACATGTCACACATACACAACATACCATACATGCATACAAAACAAAACAGCAAAACATGCCACACATACACAACACACCATACATGCATACAAAATAAAACAGCAAAACATGCCACACATTCACAGCACACCATGGATGCATACAA